AAGTATTTCACCTCCGAGGCGACGGCATATCGGTTTGTTGTAAAAGAACTCACTGCCGTCTTCTACAGCCCTTACAATTTTGACAAGTTTGTGAGACGGATTTTCAGAATACCACGGCTTCTCATTTCCTTGCGTAAAGTACTGACTAACATCCAAATCGCGAATCGCTTTCAAGGCACTTTTAACCGCCGCCACGCGTCCCTTATACTTCTTCTTATTAAAGATGTATCGTGGAATCGGTCCGATTTCATTCATGCGCTCCTCAACCATCGTCCAGTACTGAGCTTGCTCCTCTGCAGACTTATCGCGCATCTCCCAAGCACACATCGCCTTCACATCAAGCTTTTCAGGGCAATTCATGATGATTCGCTTGGCGACCACCTGCTTCTCCCACCCTTGATAGTTTCTTAGCTTTGGAGAGGACAACACAATCATGCCCCATGCGGCGGAGCGCGAAAAAGAAGGCAATGGCGAGTGTTCCTTCGCTGACACATCGTAGATAATATACCCCTTCATCCCACGCCGAACCAAACCTCCAATTGCAATGGCAATATCCTCCCTACCCATGTACTCTGCCACCGTTCTCGTAGTCTTGTCAAACACGCACGCCAAACCTCCCCCAAAGCAGTAGACAACCACTTGGAGTTTCTCATCGTCGTAGTGCAGCAGCTGGTAAAGGAGGTAGGAGCCGGCGGCCATCGATTTCCCGATCCCTGGCGTCCCAATCAAGAGACGCCGCGTAATTCGGAACGATTTTAGGTCTTCGGTGCGGAACGCTCTGTTTAGATCGCCTTCGACGATCCGCCAGACCCGCTCGACCTCACAGTTAATAAAGAAGTCGGGATTGGAGCTCCACCCCCCCATCCACACATAGGGCCAGCCCTTCTTGGAGTCGAGTATCATCAGCCTTGGGCGCGGCGGGCGAAACTGCTCTGCATCGTTGACTGGTAGAAAAGTATAACGATCCTTATCGTACACCCACGACTGCATTGGTGGTTCGCCCTCTTTCACTTGCATTCGGACCGCCTTTTTCCCACCTTTGCCCTGGGGAACTTCCAGGACGTGGCTCCACGTCGCGTTGAAAACAGAGTCGTAAAATCCCTCCAGAATCACCGGTGCAAATGTTGCTGTTGCTGTGGCTTCCCACTTTAGCCTCGCTTCCTCTCCCTCCGCCGCCGCAAGGGCTGATCGGAGCTTTGTCCTTGTTGTGGGGAAGACGATGCTCTTCTGTGCAAATTCCTTCCAGTGTTGGAGGTTACCCACCCTGTGCTCCATAAGCCTGCGTGCATCCGCACGTAGCTTGTGTACACCTTCAATTGCTTTCTTTACCGCTTTGTAGGACGGCGACGCCAGTATTAGGCGCCGATCATTCTTATTTGTGACAAATGCCTCGGGTTGCGCAACAAAATTCTCAATAGAGAGATTCTCGTTGGCCTCCACAACTCCCCTGCCGTTTAATGTATCACGGAGGAAATCGTTCAATTTAATGTCACGAAGTGGCCCTTCTCCCTCAAGCAGCACTTCCTCCACCGTACTGGTAAGTGTCCACTGTTGTTTATTTCCCTGCTCCCTCCCTTGGCCCTGTGCGACCTGCGCGCCACCGCCGGACACGCGGCGCTGTTCCATCAGAAGAAACGATGGGTGGAGGGCCCCACGCACACCGCCGGCGGGCGGCCAACGGGCACACGCGTGGGCGACGCACAGTTGCGGCTGCGGAATGCTGCGCACCCCACGCGGTCGCACCGCGGCAGCTCTCGCCGGGACAATCGAGACGCACAGCTTTTGCCGCATTGCAACGTGAAATCGCACGAAACTCCGCCACATTATCGATATCTTCTTCACTCAACTGGTTTGTCTGTCAGTGTGTGTTCGCCGTATCACTAGCACTAAAAAACGAATTCTTCACGGCCACAAAAGAGAAAGAAGAGAGATGCACACACGAGACGCACTTCCCCAACGCCCCCGCAGCCACACAACGGGAGGACGGGCGGCTGGCGGGGCGCAACAGGCCCCGGCAGCAACAACCCACGGCGGCCAGCTGCGCCGGAGGGACGCACACCCGCAGCGGCGGATCAAACGCGTCGCGTGGGCCGCACGAAGGCAGAACTCCACGGCAGTGACATCCACCCCCCGCCTCTGCGCCTCCGTCACAGCGGCGACAGACGAACTGCTCGTGGCCGCACTCCCCTCACAGACACACACACGCGCGGGAGGCGAAGAACAAAAAAAACCTCGCACTCACGCAGCCGCAGCGAGAGGGAAGTGGCGGGCCCAAAGTCCGCCGCACATTCTGCAGCTGCTCTGCCCTCACCGATCGGCACCGTACCGCACCGCAGGCTGCGATGGAACGGCGCCCCCACGCACACTCGCAGTGAGACACACGCCCCACTCACACACCCCGTCTACTCGCTCCCGCCGCAGCGGGCGCAGGAAGCGGCGGGCGGACGCACCGTCACTGACGCGCCACCGCAGCGGATAAGAAGAAAAAAAGAGTCATCGTCGTCGTGGCCTGCCGGTGCCTCTGGCGGGAGGGGGAAGGGGGAGAAGGAGAAAGGGGGGAATGGGGGGCGTGTCGGCGGCACGAGCCAGCAGCGGCGGAAACAGGGCACGGAGAAACGCGGCGAC